CACTTTTCCCAGAAGTTACAACAACTTCCCCTTCAACTATACTGGCCTGAAGATGATACAATTTAGAATGCAGTTTAACCTTTATGAGTACCATGGAGCCTTTACACACTTTAAGTATTCCATTCTCGGAGTGAAATTTATACCCTTGATTATCCAAAGTCGAAAAAGAAATCAAATTTCTCTTTATCCGAGGAATATGCCAATACTCAATATTTCTTATAATTCCATCGAACATTCTCAATTTAATGTTACCAATCCCCTAAAATGGTAATGGATTATCATCTCTCATGTAGACTGTCCCACTCATTTTCTTGTAAGTTGCAAACTAATTCTTGTGTGGACACATTTGGAAAGTAGCACCAGAATCAAGAACCCAAGAAGACTTCCCCTACATAGTCACTATTGTCAGAATTATTGTCAGTGTCAACAATATTTGCCGAATTATCTATTTTCCGCTTTCCTCTTTTCTCTTTCAGCTCTGGACACTCTCTCTTGTAGTGACCTTGCTCCCCGCACTCATAACAATTCTGCTTCCTAGCTCTAGACTTCAATCTAGAGATTGACTTTTTTCTGTTAAAGTCCTTTTGTTGTGTTCTTCCTCTAATCACAAGACCCTCGTCCTTAATTTTGCTGTCCGAAAAGCTCTTTTTCAACTCTTTAGATTTTAGTGCATTACTAATATCTTCCAGTGAAATGTTGTCTTTCCCATATAGCAGCTTATCGGCAAAAGTATCATAAGTTGGTGGTAAAGAACATAACACAATCAAGGCCCGATCCTCACTCTCAATTTTGATATCTACGTTCTTCAGGTCCATTATAATTGAATTAAACTCATCAAGGTGAGTTTTAACAAGTGTACCTTCGTTCATACGGAGATTGTATAACCTCTTTTTCAGGTAGAGGCAATTTGTGAGCGATTTCTTAGAAAACAGATCTTCCAGCTTCTTCCAAATTGTTGCTACAGAAGTTTCTTCAGCAATTTCCTGAAGAACGCTATCTGTAATGCTCATGAAGATCGCACTCAAAGCCATATCCTTTACGTCAGGCTTCTCTGTCTCTTTCATCTCTTCAGGAAAATCCTCATCAATTGCCATCCATAACCCTTGTAACACCGGTGACGATTTCATCCTAATCTTCCATAGACTAAAACTAGAACCCCCGTTAAATTTCTCTACTTCGTACTTTGTTGAAGATGATGAAGACATCTTAAGCCTAGATTATATGTAGAAACCCGAACTTTGTTCTGATACCAATTATTGCGGAAGATCGTTGGTTAACTAGCACACAATTATTCACAAAGCAAATAGAGAAGAAAAATCAATACAAGGATTTAACGAGGTTCGGCTAAGCCTAATCCTCGGGGCAGAAGCAGAGAGAGTTTTCCACTATGAATGAGAAGAAAAGCACAATATAATCTATAGAATCCCCAACTACAACCCTTGTGTATAGATCCCAAGCAGTCTCAAACCTATAATAGAAAGGTTTCCCGATTTGACAAGGACTATAGATTTTCCGTTCCCAAATCTATTAGGACAATGGGTTTTCCTAAATCTATAAGAATTATGAGTTTCCTAAAAATACAAGAAAATAATTCAAGCCACAAAATACCAAACCTATGATCTTATTAAAATAAATCTAATAATCGGTTCGGTATGACTCGGTTCGGTCGGTTTAGCCGGCTTTCAAAGATACACCGACACCCCCAATAATTATAACTAGTACTTAACATGGAGATTTCAAGCTCTTTCTTTCCTTATTTTTTCTGCAACGGTGAAGTAATTGATCACTTATTCTGTTGTTCTTGCAGGATATAGAAAGCGGACCAACTACTGATGATGCAGCACATGAGCCTCTGGATGATGAAACTTTTGCTGAGCTGCAAGTTCTTCAAAGGAATAACATTAATCGTATCGTCCAAGAGAAGAACTGGGATGAGCTTAATGACTTTGGAGGAGTCGCTGGAGTTGAAGAAGCATTGGATAGTCACCTGGAAAATGGAATTGCTAGTGACACTAAAGATATGCGTCTGCGCGACGAAACGATCAAGTTTCCTCAAACTTGTGTACCTCTTGTATTCATGTTCTTCTACTTCTTGCGTGAAGCATTCGAAGGCTGGACTATTTGCTTGCTTGCACTGAATGCATTACTTTCTCTTGCCTTTGGAATTGTCGAAGAAGGGATACAGAAGTGTTGGTTCGACAATTTGATTCTGCTTTTATCCATACTTGGACTGGTAAAGTTTAAGTTGGTGTGGATGTATTGGGAAACAAAAAAATTACTGAAGAAGAAGGAGGAGCGTAAAAAGAAGATACTGAGGGAGACAAAGGAGGTCCATGTTATTCGAGGAGGAATCGAGGGTCCGGTTCCATGCTCTGATCTTGTTTATGGTGATATAGTCTGTTTAAGAAGGGGAAACCTAATCCCTGCAAATGGGTTATTTGTTTCTAATTGTGGAGAAGCGTTAGAGGTACGAGATAATGATGATGATGATGTGAAGTTGTTTATCAGTGAGAAGAACCCATTTTTGTTAATTGGTTCCAAAGTGATTAAGGGTGATGCTAAGATGATTGTGACATTGTCGGTTGGCGATGAGGCAGAATGGACTGAAAGAATGAGAAGGGCAATAGCTGAAACTTCACATAAAGCTTTCGGTTTTGGTGCTTGTTTTGAGAAGTTGCGCACCACGATTCATGTTGTTGGGCTTGTCATCAATATTGTAATCCTTGTGGTTTTGTTCGTGCGCTTTAAATTCCGACAGAAAGATAATGAGTACGGACAGAGACCAGAAACTAAGGAAGAACCTGTCGAATTTGGACGGATAGTAAATTCCATCAGAAAATTTGTTAGAGATCAATCCAAATTGACAACCTTGCTTTGTGTTTCACTGGTGGGGATGACAGAAGGATTACCTCTTGTTGTAGCAATAGCAATTGCATATTGGAAAGGGAAGATAGTATCAAACAAGGACTATTCCAAAGTTAATATAGCATTGCTCCTCGAGACAGAGTCTTCAGTTACTATTATTTGTTCCACAAAGACTGGTTGGTTAGCACAGGAGAATCATCAGGAAGTTGTCAAAGGTGCTGTTGAAACTCTCACAGAAGGTGAAGTGAAGATCATATTTGTCTCAGAAGATGATGTTGATGAACTTAAAAACGTCGTCTGTGAAGCTGGGCTGGTTAATAACCTTGACTCGGACGATGCTCTGGTGGTTAAAGGTGAGGATTTTCATCAATTCAGTGATGAGGAAAGGATGGAGAAAGTAGATAGAATCTGCATAATGGGAAATTCCTCCCTTACTCACAAGTTGCTTCTTGTAAAGTGTTTGAAGCTAAAAGGCAAAGTGGTTCATGTGCTTGGCGAATGCATAGGTGATGGTTTGGTAATCCAAAAGGCAGACTTTGGCCTGTATATAGATACTTGGAGTTATGATTACCTGATAGGTATGATCAGGTTTGGAAGATTTATTAGTGGGAATATGAGGAAACTTATACAAATTGAGCTCATTCTGACTTTTGCTAGTTTGTCAATAAACTTGATCTCAGTTATGATTACAGGAGATGCTCCGTTAACAAATCTTCAGTTATTTTGGCTCCACTTTCTTGTTACATTTCCTGGAGGTCTATCATTGCTCTCAGGAGTGGAGGATGAAATGTTAGCAATTAGACGACGTAAACCACTAATAACAAAGGCAATGTGGAGGAACATAATAATTCAAGTTACTTATCAGATTGGCATCTTTGTGGGCTTTAAATGCAAAGGAAAAGACATCCACGGCATCAGTAGTCAAGAGATTAATTCCATAATATTCAATGGATTTGCTCTCTGCCAATTGCTTAACATATTCTGTGCTAGAGAGCCGGAGAAGAAGAACATCTTTAACGGTCTTGGTTATAATTATTGGTTTTGGGCAGCGGCTGGATTTTCCCTTATTTTGCAGTTCTCGTTTGTTGAGGCAGCGCCTATATTTAGCGACAGTTCGCGATTGAACTCGAAGCTATGGGCTGTATGCTTTTTAGTTGGTGGTGCTACATGGTTCTTTGATTGGGCAGGAAAGTGTGCATCAGAAATTGTGGATCAGTAATTTACATTACAGATTCATGTAATTAAATTTGTGATTTGGATATTACTCCTTGAATTAATTCAGAACTTTTGAACTTGAAATTCTGTTTTGTTTCCGCGAGATATTATTTGCCATTATTTTGCTTAATTAAATGATGACACATTACTTGATTCATTTCCAATGTTATTTTATTTTACTATATTGTTAAACATTTTATCATGCCATTATTATATTCCAGTAGGGTCTCACCTGACCTCGTCACTAGCATGGGCTAGCCAGTTTTCGGATTGGTAATTAAAAAATATCCAGCGTTTGTAAAGTCATTAAAAAATAGCCACTATTATGCTGCAACACGAAAAATTTCAGCATAATATACTGGAGATTGCACCTGTGTATGAACTTTCAGGATATTATGTTGGAACTCTAGCACACGGAAAGTTCCAACATAATATACTGGAGATTGGAGCATCTGTGTATGAACTTCCAGCATATTATGTTGGAACTCTAGCACACGGAAAGTTCCAACATAATATACTGGAGATTGGAGCATCTGTGTATGAACTTCCAGCATATTATGTTGGAACTCCAGTATATTATGCTGGAATATTTTCCTGATTTTGAACAGTGTTTTCGTTCAGATTTATCTTTACATGAACAATAGCTAAATTTCAATTACTTTTGAAACTGTGGCTATTTTTCAATTACCACTTATAAACCTAGCTATTTTTGAATTTCACAGCATATATAGCTCATCTTAGTTACTGGGTTCGCAATTAAACATTTATATATATTTAATAAATTTTCTAGTACAAATATATTGTTGAAGCAAAAGTGACTGGGTTCAACTGAAACCCCACTCAATAGACTAGCTCCGCCTCTCGTAACAAAGTATAACTAATAAAGTAGTAATGTTAAAGACGTAAAAACATTTGTTTACCTCATAACTTATATGCAGGGAACCTCAGGTTTCTAACGACCTCATGAATGTCGGCAACGCCAGCTGCAATGTCGTCAAAATATTCACGGTAATAAATTTTGCCATATTTTGCACTGTATACAGAGGAATTGAAAGTTGTTTTTGTTTTGCATTTTCAAGCAAGTGCACCGACATGAGAGGTATCCTGAACTTTTAAAACTTGTAAAAACAAAACAACCCTTTTAAAACTTTTTTCAAATCCTTTCCAAAAATTTTGGAGGGTATTTTTATAAACAGATAATTTTAAAAAATATTATGTAATGCATGTTATTTTTAATACACAAAATCAAACAGTTAATAAAAAATAATTTCAATATAACTAATCCCAACATAACAATATTACAATGCATGTACTCCCACCATTAATCAATCAACTAGGCCTTAATCTCTTAGTTATGGTGAATAAGCAATACTGCTTAATTTGCATTAGAGAGCATACTTTGTAGTGGATTCTATACGGCTTAAACTTACGGATTCAGTAATTTTTGCCTACATATGTTTATACTAGTTCATCCTAATTCAGTACTTTTAACAAATAAATTGAAGTGATAATTAGTACTCCCCTACCATTTTCTATCTTAGTTTGACTGCCACAAAGTTTAAAAATATATATAAAGAAATTTTTTGAATCTCATTTAAATTAAAGAAGTGTATAATACACAAATATATTTTCTGAATTTTGTAATCCTAAACCTGTCATTCCTATAAAAGAACATCTAAAAATATTGAAATTAAGAACTTACTAAATATATAGAAGGACGTTCTCTTTAAATTGATTTAAAAAAATAGGAAGACATAAAAACTAGAACCGAGTGAGTGCAGATTAATCGATAGTTAAGTGATAAAAATTTATGTAAAAATATATATTATGTTTTTTTTAGAACTCCAGGAAAACCCGCAACCGTTACAGTTTCTGCCACAGTCTCTGTCAGAGGCGGATGGAGTATACTATATACAGGTTCAACTGAACCCATAACTTTCGACGCGGAGTAAAAATTTATATGTAAAAATTCATTAAAATTGCAAAAAATAGTATATATGAACCCATAACTTTCGACGCGGAGTAAAAATTTATATGTAAAAATTCATTAAAATTGCAAAAAATAGTATATATGAACCCATAACTTTAAAAATATAATGGGTTCAATGTTAAAAACCTTAAAATTGAACCCATAAGATTTAAATCTTGGATCCGCCTTTGGTCTCTACCCTTCGGGTGAGCACTCTGTGTGCACTGGGTAAACCTCCAATGTGTAATAGCTTGCAAACCACACGAGAGATATAAACCGCACTAATTAAACCTTGTGCGACAGTTTAAAACCCAGAAGACATTGAGGGTGAATGGATCTCATGTCATCGCTATGGATAACCTCATCAAGTGTCAGTAAGTTATTAACGTCTTTTATTCAAATTAACGCGTGCGTACCGAGTATGAATTGAACTGTCTTGCGACGTGAAACAGCTGCCGACTGCCTATAATAATGGGGCAAAACGTCAACACACTACGGCCCAGGTTAGTACAGCAGGCCCTACCTACTTTTGGAAGACACATCCCTAATGAAAGACCAAAACGCCCCTAACAATTATTTCCGATCTGCCAAAATAGGTGTGCACTTATTATGGATGTGGTATTCCCTTTGTTTCTGAGTTTACTTGGTAGCATATATCAGTCTGTTTCAAATATTATCTCTTAGGTTTTGTTGGGCTCAATAATTCTAAAAATACTTTTAACATGATATAATATTGTCCGTTTTAAGCTAAGTACGTATGATTTTTCAAAAGACTTCATACCATTAAGAATATACAGCACTTTATATGTAACTTCCCAACTTTATTTTACTTAACAATTTCGCCCTCGAACTAAGTTTGCATTCATCACGATCTGCAGGTCTTTCCCTCAAACTAAGTTTCACGTTGGCGTTATCACAATCCACAAGTCAATTTTTCAGATTGATTGTTTACCCTCCGTATCGTTAGAGTATCTATGGCAATTGAAGCTTGCAACTAGCTTGTTTGTTTGTGTGCGCCTCTAAGCTTGTAAAGGAAAGTAATCCAACCTCTCGCTAACACTCTATTATCACCATACTCGTCCTGTCGAACTATAGGCTCTCATACCGGTTATTGGGCTCAACTAGCCTAAAGATACTCTTAACATGACGTAATATTGTTAATTTTAGGTCAAGTCGCACGATTTTTCCAAAAGATCTCACATCATTAAAAGTATCTGACACCTTATATGTAACTTCATAATTTTTTTAACTACCAATATAAGTTTTGTATTGCCACACAAATATTATAATGTGTTTAAAATCATAAATTCTAATAGTGTTATAATCACGCAATATTATTGCATGTTTAACATATTTCTTTCTTTCCTTAACTAGGCGCCTAATTAAACTATGTCACATAAATTGAGTTTCTTAATTAGCCCGTGCCTTCTTCCCCCTACTGTGAACTCTTCTATATCTAATTGGTCTCATTAGCAAGTGCCCCCTCTGTATTTCTTCCTTACAATGAAAATTCTAGACATCGATGCTCACGATAGCAGCGGACTATGTGTCCGACTTGAGTTTGAGAAAGTCCAGAACAATCTCAGTTCGTTGTGTCTTTAGAAAACAAGTTAAATATAAAAAGGGAAGAGTTAAGAGCTAAGAGCTAAGCTACGAGCACAAACAAATAAGTACTCAAAATCATGTAAAGTAGTACAGAATTAATTAATGCAGAACTAAAAGAATGAACAAGAGATGAGTCTTCATAAAAGAGAGCAGAATTACATATCTTTACCTTAAAAGTATGCAAGGGAGACTGGAAGCAGGAAATAATTGAAGTGAACTTTATATCAAAGGAACTGCTATTTGTTCAAACCAAGCATGAAAGGGTTTCTTAAGAGATAGATGAGAATCGTTACAAGTCTTCGCACAGAGACAAAGTCAATGGAGGAAGATGTAGTAGTATTAAAAAGACTTGGAGAGCAAGAGTCTTAAATAATTGAAAAGTCTACCGTCACAGCACAAAGGTGGACCTATGCCAGAAAATAGCAGGGAAGTCATTTTTCATTGACAACCAAGTCATTTTCATGGGCGTAGCTAGAAGTCGGGCTACGGATTTAATTTAACTGACTAATTTTTATTCAAACAATGTATTTATGTTAAAAAAATTATTCAACATGTAAAAATATTAAATTTATAACCCAACTATTAACATTTAAAATTCGTCGTTCTAAAATCTAAAATCCATACAGTTGAAATTCTAGTCTCCGAAAAATATAAAAAAACGTCTATTTTCTAGTGAGAGAAGCTCCTCCATCTCTCTAAACTTTTCGATACCTTTTCACTATATATCCTCCTTTATTCTTTGTACACATTGGCCATTGTTAAGCTTAAATGCGTCATGTGGGTATGATTGGCCTCCCTAGAGGTCACACACCAGCTCCCCCATATCTAATTGATGCTTTAAGCCACTCATTTCCCCCCTTGCGATCTCAAAATTTCAACGAAAACACATCAATGCAACCACAAAATGCTTTGAATAACAATGGAAATGCTCCAGTATGGGATTCTTCTCTTAATTTTGCAGCAGCTATAGGAGGTTCAGGTTTCAAAACTTCAAGGAAAAAGGTACGTCTGCACCACAGACCTTACGATTTAGTGGAGTGCAGACCTGTAGTGAGCTTCACTAAAGAAGAGGATGATAAGCTAGCAGAGTCTTGTAAACTTACTATTGTGGGTAAATTCCCAAGAATAAAATATGCCATTAACCGTATTAGATCAGATTTTCTTAAGTTATTTCATCTAAATGGAGTTGCGCAAATAGGGGCATATAACATGCAACATTTGTTTATTGATTTTGACCTCGAAAAAGACTATCGAAACGTTAAAGCTAGAAACTTTCTTACAATTTGTGACATGCAGATGAAATTAAAGAAATGAACCAATGATTTCAAACTAGAAGTTGAAACTACTCTGGCTCCCGTATGGGTCAACCTTCCTAATTTGAGATGGCATTATTTTGAATGGGATGCACTCTTTCGAATTGTGGAACCAATTGAATTTTCAATCATCGTGGATAAAGCCACACACTCAAAAACTAGGCCTACAACTGCTAAAATCGAAGTTGAAATTGATATCACTAGAACCCTGCCTCATGAGGTGCAAATTGATATTAAGAATGAGAAGGGTCAAATGGAAACTATTATTCAAAAAGTGGAATATGAGACTATTCTAGAGTATTGCAATCATTGTAAAAGGACACGGTGAAGTTAAATGTAGAATATTACACCCTGAGCTAAGACAAGACCAAAAGAGTACTGGGAGGAATGAACGTGAAGGACCCAAAGAAAATTAGAGAACAACTACAGAGGTTCAAAATAGTGCTGCTAATGAAATGCAAGTGGATGACAACAAAGAGGGCAACACAACTAACAAGGCTCAAGGGTCTACAATTATGGAAGTAGAAAATTTTGAAGAAGAAGAGGGTTGGAAAACTGTGGTTAATGGTAGAGGTAAGAAGAAAGGCAAAAACACCAACAAGGTGCCACAAGTTGTGACAACCACTACACTAAACAATACTAAGCAGGTGAAAGATCAGTCAACTACAACAAAAGGAGTCCTCAAAGTTACAAACGTTACTACTAATGTATCTAAGGACATTGTTCAAGTGAATGACCAAACTATGAATGTTATAGAAGTGGAAATGGAAACCCTAGTTGAACAGAGGGTGATGGCCACCTCTGTGAGACCCAAATCTCGGCCAAAAGTAAATGTTTTCTTTGTAAAAACTGGACCTCCATATGAGAGGAAATGAAAGAAAGAAGCAAGAGAGGTGAACAAAGCTAAATCCAAAACTGAAATAAATGAAGCTTTCGATGCTAATGTAAAAGATAAACTTCCACCTGAGGTGGGAGGGAACATGAAAGATGCTATGCAGGAGGTGTCAGATCATGGAAGACCTCCAGAAGTATCTATAAAAGATCCAAGTATTTCAGTATCACCTGAAGATAGGAACATAACAATTTCTATACAGGAGAGGAAGATACTAGGACAACAAGTCTTCAACACATCGCCAGGGGCTTCAAGGTCTATCAATCCTACTCAATCTGGTGAAACTCTTGAGGTGATGAGTAAAAGGATTGAGTTAGAACCTACTGCTCAGGAAAGTAACTCTCAGAATAAAGGGGATGACATTGATGAGTACTCTCATTTTGAATCAGTTTCAGAGAAAGAGGTTGAGAAAACTCAGTTACCAACTGAAAATGAATCTATGTCTGATGGTGAGCTTCCTCATTTAGTCAAGAAAAAGTTAGGCTCTGGAGGTAAGTCAGCCAAGGTAGTAGCTCACAATCAACAAAAGACCATAGATCACATCAATCTATCACCAATGGGGTTAATTAGTGTTGCACCTATAGAATTAACAAGAGCTTTGACTTCCTACAATGCTTAATTGATTGTGGCATGCAAGATACAGGCTTTGTGGGAAATAAGTTCACTTGGTGTAATAATAGAGGAGACCCTGATACTATTTGGAAGAGATTGGATAGAATGGTATTTAATGCTGAATGGTTTGACTTATATGGTAGGACCACTGTTAACCACTTGGCTAGTGCCTGCTCTGATCATACTCCCTTACTTGCTCAATTTAGCGCTTCAGATGAACTATTTGTGAGGTACTTTAAGTTACTCAACATATGGACTGAACATAAAGACTTCCTAGAGGTCATTAAAAATATTTGGGAAGTTGAATATTCACGCAATGCTATGTGGAATCTTCATCAAAAACTAAAGTTGACAGCTTCTAAGTTTAGTACATGGTCCAAAGAAGCCTTTGGAGATATTTATGAGGAATCCAAAAGGTTGGAAATGGAGCTTATCAGGTTAGAGAATGTGATGATTGCTGATAACGATGGGGCTAACAGAACCAATCTTAACAATACTAGAGCTGATTACATGAGGTACATCAAACTCCAAGACTCTATCCTTAGGCAAAAGGCCAGAGTGAAGTGGTTTACAGATGGCGATTCTAATTCGGCTTATTTTCATAGTGTCATTAAAGATAGGAGAAGGAGATTGAGCATCAACAAAATTCAGGATGAACATCACCAATGGGTAAAAGGGACCAAAGAGGTATCTGAAGCTGCAATTAGGTACTTCCAGGGAATATTTTGCCAGAAGCGTGATCATAATGACTTCTCTGATCTGGATGCCATTGAACCCATGATCATTGAAGATATCAACAATGAGCTAATTGTTATTCCTTCTATGGAAGAGATAAAGACGTGTGTATTCTCAATGGATCCTAACAGTGCCCCTGTGCCCGATGGATTTACTGCTAAGTTTTTCCAGGTGGCCTGGGACTTTGTTGCTCCAACCTTAGTCTTGGACTTAAATTCTTTATTTTGTGGGGCTAGTCTACCCAAGTGGTTCAGTCATACTTGTATAATTATGTTGCCCAAAGTATTCTCTCCCCAGCATTTTAATGATATAAGACCTATTAGCTTGTGTAATGTTGTGAGCAAGATTTTTGCTAAACTTCTCAATTCTAGATTGTCAAAGTTACTGCCTAATCTTATTAGTAGGAACCAAAGTGATTTTACTAAAGGAAGGTCTATAGCTGAAAATATTTCATTTGCTCAGAAAATCATTCAAGATATTGCTAAGCCCAATAAATATGGCAATGTTGTGCTGAAACTGGATATGGCTAAAGCTTAAGATGGAGTTTCTTGGCCTTTTTTTATGTGTTTTGATGAGAAGATTGGAGTTTAATGAAATATGGATTGACATGATCTTTAGGCATGTCTCTAGTAATTGGTATTCTCTACTTGTCAATGGTATTAGACAAGGATTCTTCAAGTCTGAAAGAGAACTTAGGCAAGGAGATCCCATTTCCCATTTTCTTTTTGTCCTATGTGCTGAATATCTTTCCAGAAAATTACAGGATATATCTATTCATAGAGAATTCACTGGATTCTACATGAATAAGAAGGGTCCTATAATTAATAACCTTGCATTTGCTGATGATGTTATTCTCTTTTCTAGTGGGTGCAGGTGTAACGATCCGGCCGGTCGTTTTGACTATTGCAATCTCGTTCCCCCATTTACTGCTCAAATTATGATTTACTGTTGTTATTTGGCTTGGCAGGGTAATTGGTTCGGGTCCGGTGAGGTTTTGCAATGATTTGGAACACTTATATTCAAGGTTTAGAATTTAAGTTGAAAAGGTTGGGCGGATGTAGACTTATGTGTAACGACCCCGAAAAAGTTTTGCTATGAAAATTAAGGTTTTGTGGTGCCGAGGTAGGTCAATTAGTACAAAGGTTATAGAAATAAGCTCGCCGCGGCTCGGACTTTTGGGTTGAACAATGCACCGATGTGTAAAGGAAATTTTTTTCCAGAAAAAAGGGTCATTTCTGCGACCACTATGCGGTCGCAGAGTGGATCACAAGAGGGGAAAGATTAGAGGAAAATCTACGGTGCACTATGCGACCGAAGACCTGTTCTGCGGTGTATTATGCGACCGCAAAACAAGTATGCGGGCCGCATAATGACCACAGACCGGGTCAGTCACGCCCAGTTTTGGAGGCCAAATTATGCGGCCATGATGCGGACCGCATATGTGTTATGCTATCGCATATGCGATCGTATAACTGCGTCGGGGCTTCCATTCTTTCTAATTTTTGACTCGACCCAACTTCGATTTATAGCCCTTGAAACTCATTTTTTAGCCAAAAATCTAACATTTTAGAGAGAGAAAGTGAAGACTTAGTCATTTATCTATCAATTCTTGTTCAAGGTTTGAAGATTTCACAAGGATCTTGCTAGGGCTTCAAAGAGGTAAGAATTTCTTTCCCCAATTCTTCAATTTTGGGTTTGGAGTAAAGATGGGTAATTAAAAGTATGATTCTTGGGTGTTAGAGTATTGTTTATACATACACATACTAATAAAGTTTATGGAAGGATTATTGAGTTCAAATGGGTAA